AACATGGCTCTAGTGAGAAGGCAGCAAAATGGCACAAAGGAGCCAACTGTGCAAAACATCCCCTTTTCATCAAGTCAACAGATGTTGCTTGTAGAAAGGTGAAGGGGGGAATGATGTCAACCAAAAGGCATAGGGAAGCCAGTTGAGCTCCACATCTTGCCATCCTTCACTGATGTAACATTCACAGTACAGTACAGCTTTTAGGACTTTGATTGCTGGACAAGTGTCATGCTATAATATAGCACCTCCTGGCAGGAGCTCTCCCTTTTATGTATCCTGTGGCATGAACTATGAATATGTATTAGCACAATCTGTTATGTGGCAGGGAATAGAAGGAGGTTCCAACAGAGTTTACTTCAGCTGTAAACCTGAAAAGTAATATATAGGAAACATAGTGAGTGTGTGTATCTATCTTCCAAATGGGCTGTTAAAGGTGACCTTGAAAATAAATTGAAACAGCCCTAATGGTACATTTTAGATATCTGTATGGAAAACGACAACAGTTTACTTCACCTTTTTATTTTTTTTAAATCCATTCTAATTGGTGAAGAAACTGTTCACAGGCAAAAGTCCCAAATAAATAAAACATAAAAATCCATTTAAATACTGACTCCTAGAAGCTTCTTATTAAAATTTTCTCCTGATACTACAGATAGTAGTGAAATATTCAAAAGCGTCTGTCTCCACAAGAAGTAAAACATACTTTAAATGTGGGGAACTGAAAACATTTTAGGAATAGGCTTCTGATGGGTTGCCTCTCTGAATTTCTGAGTTCTCTAATTTTGATACGGTCCACTTACCCTGCTGCCCAGAGAGGTTTCCATAAGGAACAAATTAAGTTTCAGATGCACAAGAAGTGACAGCACTTTTTTGCTGCTTTACCAAATTGAGAGCTTAATAAAGTTTAAATATAAATATTTAAATTTTAAAAATTTAAATATTGCCATAGCTACTTATATTGTAGCCCTGTACTGCAAAATTAAAATAGTATTTGTGAGCTGATTTTAAATTTTCATTGCACTTGAACTGTGTAATAAGGATATCCAATGGAAGTATCTCTGCTGAAGCTAAGTCTGCTGAAAACTTTTACCTTGCTTTAACTTATCTTTCTTCCCACAGTGGTCTCTAAATGCCATAATGCTTTGTGAGCAGCAATCACTGTGAACAATATGCCAAGTGACCCCAGTACCCCAGCAGCCTGCTAGACCAGGAGTTCAGCATGGCAGTGTCACTGTCTTCAGGAGCCCTGAAGCAATGTAAGTCATGGTATTAAACTAACTTGTTTGGCTTATACAAACTCCACCTTGGGGAGGCAGGGGTGAGCCAAGTGCTGTTAAAACCACTTAGGTAGGGAAAAAATAAAGCATGTATTTAACAAGGACCATATTTGGTCCCCTTAAATTGTTACTTTTGTTATCTCCTGAAATGTAATGGGATCTATAGTGAACAGATTCTTGCTTTCTAGGGACATACTCATGCCATCTGCTGGAAAGTTATGGAATTTAGCAAGTATTTTTTTATTATTATTTTTTCAGTAGCATTTTATTTCCTGGTTTTTAGGTGTTAAATTCTTGTGCTTATTCTTTTTGTACAGATCTGTAGGTAGCTGTAATATAGTTCAAAAGCACTTAAGTCAGGTGGTCTGGCAACTTTTTGTACAATATGAAGATATTAAACAAACTGCCAGCATAATTTGTTACTGATCATGTGATCTTAACCCTTTCAAGTGAAACACCAAATCGGTTTATCTAGTCAATTAACATTCAAGTATTCTTTTCTCCTCTCGACTGACTGTTTAAGTATGTTAATGTTATTGTATGGTTGACAGTGACAACAAACAAAATTATATCAGTTCATGTGGAATACAGAAATATCAAAATAATTTGCAGATTATTCTAGATTGGAATTAGTGAGATAATTCCACATTTTCATTTCCTTGGATAAGCCTCCAGCTTGCACGCACCTCAGGTCAGCCTATAAATACATCTTTAAACACCTCATCATTGTACATATCCAACATTCCTGCAGGTATAATTATCTAATAATGCAACAAAAATAATTATGGAATTAATCAATAATCAATGAGGAAGCATTCTGCATCCTCAAAGGTTATGCAGAAAGCAGGACTGTCCTCTAGGTTTTACTATTAAATAATCTCCAGGTTCTTATCAATACGATGTAATGAAAAGATACAGTATTTAAGCATCAAAATTCTCTTCTATATATCGCTCTGTTACTATTCCATGGGTAAGACCAATTCTGAAGAAAGAGAACTCATCTTGCCTATGCAGCAGGCCAGGTTGGACAGAGCCTTGGGTGACATGGTTTAGTGTGAGGTCTCCCTGCCCATGGCAGGGGGGTTGGAACTAGATGATCTTATGGTCCTTTCCAACCCTAACTATTCTATGATTCTATGATTCTATGCAGTAAACTATTTTACTATTCACTCCTGGTGAAGATATAGCAAAGAAACTGCCGAGCACAGAGCTAAATAAACTACCTTGAAACTGCTGCCCATGTGGAGACTTGTGATATCCTTACACAAATTTACAAACACCTTCAGTCTGCTGGGGATGGACAACTTGGAAGAAGAGCAGAGCATGAGCATAGTAGGTAGGAGCAGAAGAGAGTTAAGATAGTTATAGGGACAGGAAAATCAATTAAAAAAAGCCCCAAACAATCAAACATGAAAGTAGAGCATTATATCTATACATTACTTCATGTTTTTTTCTTGCACGGAATTCCACCTTCCAGCTGTGGATGAATCTGCTGTACAGATGAATCAGCAACAGAGGCTTCTACCAGTAAGTCTTGATTTATTTATTTATTTACAAGGGTCAGAGGATATATAATTAGAGAGAGAAGGGGTAATACAGAGAAAGTGTGTTCTCTTGATCGAGAAGATGGGGAAACTGGAGGAATAATTTTGTCTCTGCGACCACCAAGTTTGTATATGGTTCAAGGGGCTCACTTAAGAACCTTGTAGATGGTTATTAGGCAATCTGGTGGGGGGGATTTTTATCATATTTTTCTGTTTGTTTTTTTAAAAGATGTCTGTGTTGTGGTGAGGGTTCAAGTCTGACCTTAATCCAGTAATGTATCAAGGTGGGCTAAGATCAGGACTATGGAGGATCCTGCATAGTGAAGGCAGATGGGATGCCTTGTTACTATTGTTCTATGGACCTGTGCTAAGGGGTATGGAAGGTTACAGTCCCTGGGATTCCCCTGAGGTAGCATGAACCACATAGGAGCAAAGATTTTCATCTGCAGAACTTGTAGAGGCAAGGCAAGATTTTCTTATGGAAGTTCTAACTTGGGCATAACATATGCATAGCATGTTTTTCATTTATTGGTTGCCCAAAGTCAGAGTACGCCAGGGCTGCAGAAATGCTCAAAGTTCATAAGGACACTTGTGTGCTAAGTACAGAAGTGCCTCATGCTGGAGGGGTGGGGGAAATATCAGTTTTTTTTCACTTGGATGCACAAAATTTTAGTGAATGTTTTCCGAAAATGGCAATGTCAGCGCAATTGCACTCCTGTTTTCTGACCTGTGGCATGAGGATGATACAAAAGCTGCTGCAGCATTTATAGTGGATTATAGGGTGTTAGAGTAAACACGAGTACCATGTAAACGTATCAGATGAAACCATTTGTTATCAAAATTAGTGCTAGGATCAGACTGAGTCTGGTCTATGACCACATACTAAGCAAGAGAAATACAAATACATGTTGAATAAACGGTGCCAGATAAGCTTGATAATGTGTAGAAAAAATAGTATTCTGTCAAACAGTTATAGGACATCTACAAGATAAATATAAATCAAGACTGCATGGGCAATTTTAATTTAAGAATTTCCTTAGCTTTTCCTTCCCTTTAAAACCTTTTAAGTTCTGTTAATGTGTTTTGATTGAGTAAATTTATACAGTTCTTTTTTTTTTTTTTACTGCAGTGAAATATGAATTACAGTCAGACTGAATTGCATCATTTCACATCATTTCAGTTCAAAATCTATGTATGACCAGCTTTGAGTTTTCAACACCCCCTAGAGTAAGCAGAAAGCTCTGATGGGCTTTCTTTTCCTCTTAGGTCATAGAATAGTTAGGGTTGGAAAGCATCTTAGCTGAGGTAAAATGCTCCTTTTTTTGCCTTTTTATTTGACTTCCTGATACTCTGAACATATAAAAATATTTATGGAAATATTGGAAAAAGCTAAAATGAAACATGTGAAAGTATTTAATAAGTGATCATATTATAAAAAAACTAATTAAAATCCTTTCACATGAAAACCCTACTTTAGGAAAAAAAGCCAACCAAACAAGTTTTTACCTGGCAGCTAGGAATAATAATATTAAAGTGTAGATTTACAAGCCTGTGGCTGATGTTTTACCTACTGTAACTGCAAAAGGAGTCTAGAAGATGTGCAATAAGATTTAGTAGTTGTATACTTACCATTCTTGCAAGAAAATCAAGTCATCGTTTACATGAGGATGGCTCAGCTGCTCCTGTTCCCTCACTGATCCTCCACCATGCTGTCTGGTGACTAAGTTTTTGCTTTACAATTTTATATCCTTTTACACTGGTGCTTTCCCTCATGGATCCTTGAGCTGCTCCTTAATCCTGTATCAAGAATCTCCCTTCTGTCTGCAATTGGCTTTTATTATTTTAGCATAATTTTAAAAATTCAGTGAATTTCTCAGTAGTCTGAGCCAAACGCATGCAGCTGTCCTGTCTCAAAACTATCTCACAGTCGGCTGAGTCCATAGGTGAAGAATAAAATATCATGAAAGTCCACTTCTGTTGTCCTCCTAACCCCAGTCATCTCTAATCATATGTTTTTGGCCCACCGCACCACTTACTCCCAGCTGAGCTTTCACAGGTAGGTCATGCAACCGCCGTTGAAAGGCAATACCATCTCAGCAGACCTACCAGCTTTCATGAATGTATAATTCAGGCAGTCTCCTGGACTGCATCTGGGCTGCTTTGTTAGTTATTGGTAAAACACTACAATTCAGATGAAGGAAGGACCCAAGAAACAGTAATACATCAATAACTCCTAACAAGGAGCTGAGGGTTGCACAAGTTACTGTCTGCTGTTTCTAACAATGTAAATTTTGTTTTTTAACAGTGACATTAACCTGCCAATAAAAAGGCAACTATTTCCCTATCAGTTTACACTGGTAATGCATTATTCATCATACAGAATTAGAGAGCTTAGCTGAAGGTCTTTGAGAGAAGTCTCGAGCAAAACACCACAGAAACTTGGTAGCTAAGATGCTGTTGATTCTTTCCAAGCAAAATAGAGCTCCATCTAAAAAAAACAGTTTGACAGCTTTCTTTTAAAAACCAGGTTAATTTGTTTGAAAGAACATTGCAAAAAGAACTGAACATGGGCCTGACGTCTGGAAGTTACACTTGATACAGAGCTTTTTATTATTATCATTATTAATGTCATAATATGTTTGCTGCTGCAACCAAAAACTTCGTTAAACAGGTTGGTGATGGAGGAAGACTAGTTCCAGTGCCCAGTCTCAGTGAGGCTGATAGATATCAACCTCTGAGCCTTGTGATTAAGAAAAGAACATGTTTGCTTTCAAAAAAATCTAAATTTGCTTCAACACCTTTCACATTAAAAGACATCCTGCAAGGGGAGAAAGAAATTTCTGCAGGTAAGGTTTCTATCTTTCTTCAAAGTGGAAAAATGAATGTTTTCTAGTAAATACAGAACAGCAGACATAGTTTAAACTGTGCAGGTAGTATGATGGGTGTTTAATAAATGGGTAATAAACTTATCTTGCTCAGTCTTGTAATAAATAAATGAAGCAATTATACTAAAAAGCCTTGATATTTTCTGAACTATTATGAATCAAATTCAGTTAAGCCTTGTGTTTGTTCACAAATGGCAACAAATTCCTGATGTGTTGATGTATGTTGATCGTTTTAAATGTTAATGTTTCTTTGTATACTCACTTCTAACCATGTAAGAATGGCCTCAGTTCTTCAGCTGTTCCATGCTAGTAGTTTCTGCTGATGGGCTGGGCTCTGCAGCAACAGAAGCATTTAACAACAGCTATCTGACTGAAGTAATTGGATTTCCATAAGATGTTTTTCCATTTGTAATCTTTTGTGTGTATTGTAAAAGCTTAACTGTGTGTAAATTACCTTTTCAATGCAATATCAGAAATCTTTGAGGTGATTCTAGAAGAATTAGGAGGTGCAAAATTGAACTATACTGCTGATACTTCCCTGTACCTTCCTTTGAAAAGTAATTTTTGTCTGTATGCTACGTTTTCTGAAAACAGTGGCATTACTTTATATTACTTACTTTATTTATTTTGAAAAAAGTCCATTTTGACAAAAGTGTTGGTTGCATTAACTAAAAACACTACTAAGGCAAACCAGTATGAGCAGAAGAAGACAGAAATACTGGTTGACCTCACAAAGGGGGGATTCCAGGATGCAAGCATAATGAAAAAAGTTGGAGAGAGAAAAATCTTATTAAAAAGTCTGCAAAAAAGGTTGTAAAATCTCATTACAAAGTCTCACAAAACCTTACTAGTCTTTTCTGTAAAGGTTAGATATCATGTGCAGAATGTATTGTCCTTTAATATAAGAACTTTGCAATTGAATTTCTTTTTTATGCGACAAATACAAGCAATTGCAATATTTTTAGAATTATGAAAAATACATGAAACTTTTTTTTTGTTAAAATTAAAGACAAACAGAATTTATAGTAGGTGACTTCATAATGCCAGTTTATCCTGAGTTTCAAAGGACTAAAAAAAAGAAGAGTAAACACCAGACTCTCAAATGAATTTGAATGCCTAATCCCTCTGTTCTACCTGCTCTATGAGTTTTAATTTGGCAACCAATGCATTCTAATATTCAGTGGTTTCAAGGTTATTAAAAAAGCATTATAGAAATGCTTTGGCACCTACCCTTTGATTGCACACTAAACTGATGCAAACTTTCAAGTAAGTCAGAATTAATCTGTTGCTTTCAAAATAAACTGGCATAGGCCCTGAAATCATCAGGCATACTTGGAGCATGCAGTAAGTCATTCTCATTGGGACATGTGAGGTAAAAGTCAAAGTTAATATTACTGGCACACCCCTGTCTCAATCAGGTAAATGTCATCAGTAGTAATACCGATGAGGAGCACAGAATTTCACATCAAAACGGTTAAGCAATGTAGGAACAGTACCTTTTATTCTCTTGTGTAAAAAATACCATTTTCAGACTTCTCATCACACAGTGGTATTCTTCTTTTACCCAGGTGTCTCGTCTTACCAATTGCTCAACTATGAAGACAAATCAGATGTTTCACTTAATGGTAGAAGAGGAAATCAGATAATGAATGATGTTGGTTTTGATGTTGCTGGATCAGATTCTGTTGCCTTTAAAGCTTCATTTGGCATTGTGAGCAAACATGAGGTTGAAGTACCAACGTTACTTAAAGAACTTACTACAAGGTTATATTATGTATTTTGTTTTCTGGTTCTGTAATTGTATTTCATACAATAAGGTTGAACCTCTAAAATGGTTAGGTTTTGATTATTTCTAGTCAGTCAATAGCAGTCACCATCTAATATATTTTGAAGAGCCTCTGGTTGGATCACTGGGATTAGACACACAGCCTGTACGATGCAGACTGCAAAATTTTTCTGAATTAGTTCTTGTCTGTATTACAGTGCATCTTCCAGGAAAAAATTAAATCCAGAGAGGAAGAGTCCATCCAAGGTCCTATCTATATTCTATACTATTGAAAATTTGAAATTTACTTTGAATAACATTACCCAAGTTAAGGTTTCAGAAATAAGATTTCTTTGCCTTTGTCTGATGAACTAGAGAGCTATATGCGTTATTGCCAATGGAGGTGCTTAAGGTTTTGTGAGGCTATTACACAGCCTTTTCTTTATCTACTTGAATTTTAAATAAGCTTTTGTTGCTGTTCTCTAAATGCAGTCTCCATTTTTCAAATATCCTTGTTGAGCTAAGGACACTGAAAATGAACTTGGTGTTACTGTAGCGCTAGTGCAAATGTCAAACACATAGAAATATGGTGTGACTAATTCTAGGAGTAGTTCTCTAGTTTGTATTTCAAAGATTATTCCTTGGCCATAATGTTACCCCAGTGAATCCCAGTGTTGCATCCCAGTAAATAATTTACTATGCGTGATGTGACATTTGGTATTTTCAAATTTTCCTGTAGTTATTTACCAAGCGTTGCATGTAATTTTGTATTCATTAACTCTTGTTCTGTACCTACCTTTACCGTGTTTATTTGTAACCTCCAAATATTATGATTAATAATTGAGGATAGCAGAAGAGTCCTGGTCTTCTGATAAAAATATTCAGTGCTATAGGACTAAGAGCTCATGCGTGCAGGAATTCTCCTACAAACACTTGTTTCAAGATTGTTCCATGTTTATGAGTGATAGAGTGTTTTCAGCTATAGTTGACATGTATTGTTTAACCCAGTTTTTAATCCATTGATGCCAGCTTCTACAGGCATTATTTAGGCTTCTAATCAAAAAAGTAAGCCTTATAGAAGCCCAAAAGTAAAGTATTACAGCTGTTGATTTTACTATCTATTTTCTGTAAATTCTTTCTGACATTAATTATATCACTTTAAAAAAAATTATTAATTAGAGTCAATTGACAGTTCCTTCCTATCACTAAGAACAGTGTCACATGGACAGACCTAGAATTTTCCAGGATGTCCCACATATCCTCTCTAACATTTTTAAGTTACTGCCTTTCCTTGGATTTTTTACTGAAAACCAGTATTAAGTTTCCAGAGATGACCTCAGTCAGTTGTTTTACTGTTATGAGACAGAAGTTACGTTGATTTATTTACTGTTTTATAGTTACTAATTCTATTTTATTACTAATAATCTCTGAATTTCCTTCCTGCCTCCCTCTTGATTTTAGAAAAATAAACTTTGATCATTGTCTAGTCCATCAATCAAGGAAAAGTAGGATGGAAATTCTGTGCGTGGTCATGGAAAGTATTAGAACTACAAGGCAATGCTCATTAACTGTCCATACTGGAATGCGTGGAGAGACAATGAGGGTAAATATGTTTGACAAAATTCTGTAACTTAAATGATCAGACATAAAAAGCTCATTTTTATAAATTATATGGTTGTGTTTTTACCAATCTATGCTCAGAAAAAAACTGAACTAAATCAATATTATTGCACTGATGTAAACTGATTAAAAGTTGGTATTTTGTTTAGTATTGCTTATGTGACTCAGGGATGGGAAATGCATGAAAGGATGGCTAGACAATGAGCCATTGCTTTGGGTGAAGCCTCAGCAAAAAACTTAGTTTTTTTCAGCTTCTTAGTTTGAATCTCCAACAACTGTATAACCTATCTTTCATTTTTATATTTTGTCTTTTATAACACGTTAGAACTTCAGGTTGTTATTACTTCAAGGATTGGCATCTTACTCCCTGTTTTATGTCCTTCCTCCCTCTACCTCTCTTCACTGTGTTTCAGTAATTGAACCTACATATCTTCCGAGGTTTGCCCATTACTAGTATTTCTAAATAATTCATATAATTTTTAATGAGTGATGCAAGTTAAGCTTCTACCTCTGTATCTAACTTTATTAAAATGCAAAGTTGTTGATAGAAAATTCTTTAGTTGTGGAATTTGATGTTCAATTTCAAAGGTTACTCCTGGCATTATAATTCTTAATATATACAGTTAAGATACTATTTTGTGTTGTTTGGTTTTTTTTTTCACTTCAGTTTGTAACTTAATTTCTTTTGATGCTTTTCTAAATTATAGTTTCACTTTATTGAAGATCAGAATTGTAAAGGGCGGGACAAAGCCATTGTTTTTCCTGCACATACAACTATTGCTTTTAGTGTATTTGAACTTTATATTCATTTGGATGGTAATTTTGGTAAGTGATGTGAGTTACTGTCATTATTGCTATTATTTATAATGATCTGAGGTTTTAAAATAGTTGATATACATAAGCCCTGATCCCTTACAAAGGTATGTTTTAATTTTATGCACATAAGTAGTCTTTCTTTATAGGAAACAATTATTGAAAAGATAATCAAGGCAGGTGCATGGAAGCATTTTTTAAAAGTTAAGTATGATTTTGTTATTTCTTTGTGAATCTTGCAGCTGCATTGAACAAAAAATTTCTTCCTTATGTTTCTAGTCTGTAAGGAACAGGCTTATGAGGCCATCTGATCAGTTTTGCATAAAATAGTAAAGAAAAAAGACCCAATTAAAGAAGAAAATGTGGAGAACTTGAAAATTAAGCTAACAGTTTTTTCTGTTAGGGCTTTAATTTCAGTCTGATAAATCATTACTGCATATGGATATCCTGCATATGGATATCTGAAGATTTTTATAAATCACAGTTACTGGAAACTAATAAAAACATTGCATAGCTCCTGTAAGTTTTTCTCCTTTTGGGGAAAGGATAGTGCTTATGTATTTACATAATTTGCACTTATTAAAGTGTAATTTATACCATTATTGATATTACCAAAGTTGTTAGGAATAAACCAGAAAGTCAATTTAGGATTTCATCTAGTGCTTAATAATATCAAATGCAAAACTCCCCACTGAGCAGAGTGATGTTAAATGAAGTTTTAACCACCGCTTTCACATGTGTTTAAATACAGAAACCTCTGTAGATTCACTCAGTGGGAATTGTTTCAGGAATTGCTTAGCTATAACATTATGGCTTTCTGTAAATAGCAAGATAAGAGACCTGATTAGGGTATTAATCTCTGTCTCTGCAGATCTATATAGCACTATGTTCTAAAAGTTGAAAATAGCTCTGTACCATTTGGCATACACAGGATAAAACAGGTACTCTGCATTGCAAAGCACCCTTTTACTGAACTGTGAAATACCTTCCCTTCTGTGAAAAATTTAAATGTATTCCAAACCAGGCATAATTACTAGATTAAAAGTAAAGGAGATAATTTTGTATGGTGGTTCTTTATATTCATTTAAGTAGAATGCTTAACATTAATTTAAGGTTTGGAAGTGTTTTAATTTTATTTTACCTTTATGCAATAGCAGGTACATGCACAGTGGTTTTTTTTTTCCCTAAAATCATTATTAGTGAAATAGTCAATGAAATTGATATTTCTATTTGCAAATTGAAGAGAATTCTCAATTGATAATGTTTAAAACATGTTTTTTTTTTCAGTTACTTGTAACTGATTATTGTTATATTTTACTTTAAATGTTTTCTTTCAAGTTATGGATAGAAATGTAGGTGATACTTGTTTTTATTAAAAAAAATAAAGTTTTAATAGTTGATTCAGTGTTAGAAGAGATCACTAAAGAGCTCACAGCATTGCTTCTTATTTTTCATTATTAGTTTCAAATGAGATCATAGAAATGTTTCTCCTTCAGAAGCAGGGCTTCCAGTTGCAAGATATTGACTTAGTCTCTTAACACGGCCTTAAATTGTGTATAAACCAACCAAACTCTGAGGATGTGTGCTGAAAGCCACCAATATTTTATCATTCCCACTGAATCTGTGTCACTTGATTTTATGGGGTATTACTGTGTGTAGACTTGTATTAAAAAGTGGTACTAGCCATTAAAAACAGTAGCAAAGCTGAATTTAATCACTGTTAGCTTTTTACATTAGAAAGCGTATTAAACTACTGTGCAATTACTGCTTTTGTATTTTGTTTTTATAAAAACAATTTTAATTTTTACAGAGCTCTGTGTGACTCCAATTTCAAAAGGAGGATTTGAAAAAGAGAAATCTGGATCATCTTCACTGACCAAATTAAGGAGGTTAAAGAGTAATCTGTTTCATAGAAGTATGACTTTTGATATTTATATCCAAATGTCTTAGCTAATGCATGAAGAGTGCATTTTTGTTTCTGTAATTTGTGTGCAAGATGAATGCTTAAAGAAGAAAACTTTGATGGAAAATGTACCTCAATTTCTCGGGTATTGAAATAATTGCAAAGTTTTTAAAATTTGTTTTTGAGAATCTGACTCACAAATAACAAATTTATGGTGTTGCTCTTCATTAAAACTCTAAAGATCCTAAAAATTTATGGCTGATGGTAAACTGGTGTGGAGTAATTATACAATTAACTACAGTTAACATTAAGCCTATTTCATATGCTTGCCATTTACAGCTAGTGTTATGCAATACAAGTTATAATCTATAAATAATATTTAAGGGCAAACTTCAAAAATCTTTAAAAGTTTAAAAATCAAACAATATTAATTTAAATTTTTGAACATACTCTTTAGGCTGTATGTTCACATGGCAAGGACATAGGCAAGATACCATCATAGTTGCTATTTCTCATTCTGATATGAGCACAACATCCAACAAAACTGTGTATACATATATTTTCTTCAGAACAAGATCATATACTTTTAACACTTTGTAGCCTAAGTATTTTGAAAATCTGCAAATCTGAGTGTGAAGATGAATGTTGAGTAGTAAACACGTTCTTCTAAAGGCTGGTCTGTCCTTGCTCCATTGTATCCTGGTTTTGATCAAAGGGCTTTTATGGACCGAGCCTCCAGTGCTGCTCCAGTTCATGCTAAGGGGATAAATCTTCAGTGAGTGTGTTACATCTCAGTAGCTGTAGCAGTCTAAAAGTTTGTCATTCAATAGAAACTAAGGAGTCCCTGAAGAAAGAGGGAAAAGGTAAGCTGTTCCAAACGTAATTTCTTCCTGGGGTGTTTGGATGCTCAGAAATCTGCTAGGAGGTCAACTTGGAGTCCTTCAAATTTTCTAAACCTGTTAAGTATTGTTTGGTTTTTTTTTTGTGTGTGTGTTTTGTTGTTTGTTTTTTTTTTTTTTTTATAAGTGCTAGGGGAAGAGAAAGGAATTTGCAGGTTTTAGAAAATAAAACTAGAAATGCAAAAATAAAAATGTTTAAACAGGGAAGTACGCAGCTGTGATTTGATTTGGCACCAAATTCTTCAAAAGCTCGCCTCATGCCTACCTTTTAGGTGTGTTTCTAAAAATATGTAGGGCACACAAAAATGTATGGCTTTTCTCAGTGTCTTTTGTGAAGTAAAAATTACAAAAAAATCATCACCCAGGGCTTCTGATGGGAAGTAATCTACAACACGGTGTGTTTAGAATAGTTTCATGAATCAGCTGTTATTTTCATAACTAGATTGACAGGTTGCTTTGTAAATGGTTCATAATGTAACAACAAATCACTGCTTTTTGTGTGTGTGTGTGTGTTCTTTTTCAGATAAAAGAGTAGTGGCTACCATTGCTAATTCTGAAGCTTACTTGGAGGACCTTTTTACAGATTATTATGAAAAAGCTGCAAGCATGACTGATCTCTCTACAAGCTATCTCAGAGAAGGGTCTCACATCCGAATTAATTTACTTAATAACAACATCCCAAAAGGTCCCTGTGTCCTTTGTGGAATGGGAAGTTCTAAAAGGGAGACAGTCTATGGGTGCCTTGAGTGTTCTTTTAATGGACAAAAGTATGTACGACTGCATGCTGTGCCCTGTTTTGACCTCTGGCATAAGAGAGTAAAGTAGCTGAACTAGGTAAGTGCCTTTTGTTACAGACATGGGCATAACTGTGCCACACACTTTTCAGAATTAGTAAATATGACTCAAATTTTTGAAATGCAAAATAGTGAAAGTGCAAAACATTTTATTACACTATTATCTTGAAATTTTTGCTTTCCAGTCCATGATCTTTTATTTGAAAATAATGCATTCCCTGACATAGCTTTTCTTTCTAGAACCTTCTCTTTTCATTACCATGATAATGAAAAATGCACTTTTAGATTGTATTTTCATAATGTCAAAATATATGCTAGAACTTTAAGTTGTTTACACAAACTTGTTGTTACACTCCAAAATCTTGCCTTTGTCTACCCTGGCATATAATGAAAGTATTTGTTAATAATTTAGTGTCCTCATGAATGTTTAACTGAGGTATCAGATTAAAAACATGCTAAAACTTAGCTCAGTCTAATGTTTCATTTGAAAAAGGGAACAACTAAAACTAGGGATAGGGGTTTGACATTAGGATGGCATTACCATATGTCAACAGTTTGTTTAGATTACGAAAAAATACCACATAGTCCACTGTCTGAATTTCTTTGGATTTTGGATCACAGCTGCTCTTGACTTTATTACGTGTTCAGAAAAAATTGCTCATCGATGTATTTTGGAAGCTTACAAAAATAACAGAACTACATCCTCCCAACAAAGCTTCAGGGTTAAGGTCTCAACCGGTAGATCTCAACCACAAAAAACTGTCTGTTGAGAATGTAAACACCAGAGGGCACTGCAGAATTGTGTCCAATGTTGAGGCTGGGAGTGCCGTTGGTTAAAAGCTCTCCCTGCGCTATTTTAAACTGGGAAAACAATTTCAGAAAAGCGTTTCTACCTTTTAGCATGACTTTAAGAATAACCCACGTATGGAAACTTTTGTTTGGAAACTTCACTGTGTGCATCTGATTATTACATGTTGAAAGGAATGCAGCTACTGCTTTTCATGTGAGAAGAGTGAAGTATGTTAGACAAGTATTATGATGACATCTGCATAAGGAGAACAGTGAATGAGCCTGAAGTACTGTCTATTAACTCTATTGCTACTTATTTACATTTTTCCTAAGTGAAGGTAACCAGAATGATGCCCAAATAATTACTTATGTTTCTATATAGTATCTCCCATCATCTTCAGGCTTGTGGAATAAACCACATACACACAAATATTTTTTAAAAAAAGGAATATACATATGACTTTAAATCTCAAAACAGAGCTCTAGCTGTCAAAAATATTTTTTTCTTTGTCACCACTTCATAATTCACATTTATTATTATTTCTGAACTATGAAGCAGTCACACTGGCCTATACATAATATGTTGGGCACTGTCTAGTAGCAGTGCAGTGCTGCATTTTGGCTTTAGTCTGAGAATAATTTTGATAACACATCAATGTTTTAGCTGTTGCTGAGTAGCACTTATACTAAGTCAAGGGCTTTTCAGTTTCCCATGCTCTGCCAGTAAGGAGGGGCACAAAAAGCTGGGAGGATACCTGACGAGGGTACCTGACCTGAACTAGTCAAAGGGATATTCTGTACCATAGGACATTATATACTTGAGCATAAACTGAGGGGGGTTACCTGGGAGGGACAGATTGCTGCTTGGGTCAGGCTGGGTATGCGTCAGCAGATGGTGAGCAACTGCATTGTGCAGCACTTGCTTTTTTGGAGGGCACTTGGGGTTTATTCCCTCTCCATTTCCTATTATTATTGTGTATTTTTATTTCAATTATTAAACTGTTCTTATCTCAACCCCTGGGCTTTTATCTTTTCCCTCCCAGTTCTCCTCCCCATCCCCCTGGAAGTGGGGGAAGTGAATGAGTGGCTACGTGGTACTTAGATGCCTGCTGGGGTTAAACCATGGCACACCTCATCCAAGTAAATCATGATGGTGTAGATTTTTAAGCTGGTATTGCTGAATAAACTACCTAACTTCATAATTTTACGAAGCCAAAGTTAAAAACCCACTTAAAATACAAGCTGTTCATGAACCCCATTATTCTTGTTAATATTACAGCAAAGAGGTTATTTTAAGTCTCTTTAAGAACAGTTGTGTTTCTATGTTGAAATTCAGTAGTGTTCAGTCTTCATTTCCCTTAAGGCCTTTCACAGCTAAATTTGCTGCAAACAGCAATTCCCCAAGAAGCTGGCCTAGGAGCCTGCAGAAGTTTAACAGATATGTCCCTTGGATTTTGTTTTCCCCTTTTATTTTATAGGGGATAGAGAACTAGTTATAACATAACCTGATGTCAACAGGTACTGGAACCACTGTTGTGTGCTTGATAGGACAGAAATATTTTCATCAGTATTTTACACAATGAGACAAACTACTGAGTAATACTGTAGATTAGGACATAACGCAGGAACCACAAATAACAGATCATAGTGTTTTCCAATTTTATTTCTTTCTTTTGAGATATCTAACATTGTATTAGTTGAACGGTAAAAATAAGATTTTTACAGTCATTTTAAGAGGTATAAAAAGATGCCACCATAAAAAAAAATACAAAAATTTCTGTGACAAAGTATTATTATTTAAAATTCAGTGTCCGGAAAATGGCCACAGATTTTTCTAAGTACTCAGAGTTCATCATGCTGGTAGACATTGTACTCCTTTGCTGATATGAAACCATCTCCATCATGGTCATTCTTCTTAAATATATCAGCTAAGATTTCATCATGGACTGAGGGATGACGTTTTTTGCCATCTCTCGCAAATTCTTCTTTCAAATACTGGCTTATCTAGAAGAAAAGAAAAAAGTCCAACCATTATGGTTTTTATGACAGCACTCAAAAGCTATCTTCAAGGACACCTAGGGTATATATATAAGTTATTGTGACTCCAGTGCAGACACATCTTAAGTTTGTTTCCCAGCAAGTCCAAGACGTACTAAGGTATTAATCAAAACAAATTTCAGAATTGCATGGTGTAGTTTATGTAAGCACACAGAAGCTTTACATGATCAACTGCAGCAGAGGCACCTCATGTAAAGATAATGCTATGCAACTATACCTATAGTTTTATACATTATTTATTCCAAATTAGTTACACCATATTACCTCAAGTTCAGAGAGTTTCTTGTCACCGTCCTTGTCGATTTGATTGAATGCTTCAACACTGCGAGGTCCCTTATTTACTGCATAAAGTTCAATCTCAAAGATCAGTGTTGCATTGGGTGGAATCTTGATCTGTGCTATGAATAAAAAAAGCATTTAAGAAATAAGACACTATGGTCAGAGATCACACACATGATGAATTCACACATAAAGACTCTTGGGGTTTTGTTACAAAAGACTGTTAATATTAAACTCTGAATTTAAATATATACAGCTAGACAGCAAGACTGTTCACATTCTGTTAGATAAATGATTTTGAGAGAGATTTGCAAATAATGAAATTCCCTGAAATGAAATTACATTGCTTATATCAATTCAGGTACTTTTAAAAATTAAAAAGGTTTGTGTTACCATGAAAAACAAGTTTTTCTGAAGTTCTCACTCTTTCACATACTATCAGATGATGGATTTTATTGAGAGAGTGGTTCTAAGGCATATGCCTTTATTAAGTATCTGCAGTCTGATTTGAAAGATTGTATGAATAGACCAATGCTCATATGTATTTTCCGTGTGAAGAAACAAGCAGGAAAAATCAAGTTTTACCAACTTACTATGAATTATACCTATGGTTAAAGGTCTTGATATAAAATAATGTTTAAAATATACATATCATTAGAAAGAAGCATCAGAATGTAAGTCCTCTGATTCACACACACATGAAAAAGCCCAAACAAACAAACAAACCCTAGCTCCCCCCAAAGAAAAACAACCACAAACTACTAGAATATTTTGTCTGGTCTCTGAAATAAAAAAATACATTAGACTTCATTATTCCTGTGTTAAAGCATTTTCTGGTATCTGATGTAAAAACACCACTGCCTATAAAACACAGGTCAGTGTATCATGCATCTGGCAAAAAGAAAAAAGGAACTGAAGAGTCAGTAACAAACTAATGAGATGTAAAATAGCACCAAAAAAGCATCAAGAAATCATGCAGCATAGAATTAAAATGTAAACATGCAAGTTGCTTCTATTCATAGCCAAAGCCACTAAGCATGACATTGTAACCTCAAAATTTTGACAGAATTTTGAGCTTGTGCTCATCCTTCTTAAAGAAAAATTAGAGAATCTACTTTGTTTGTAAATAGAAGGTAAACAAAACTATTATTCACACTATTCATCTAATATATCCAGAGTAAAAATGACAGGTTTTAGAGTTCAGAAGATTTTCCTCTTACAAACTTCAGAAATGTGGAAGCTTTAAATATGTGAATATAAATCATGGTTTAATCACTATTTACAAAAGAAAGATACAATACTAGAATTCAGTACCAGTAGTTTACAAGCATACATACCAACAAAGGAAAGATATGTAAAGATTTAGAAAGCCACATGCATCTTTTTTTAATCAAGATTAGGCGGACATCTTCCTCAGCATGCAGGAATACGCTGAGACATATGCAGAGGACAGGTATGCTGAAGAGAAATAACACTTTCTTGAAGTGCTACCTAGAACAAACAACACTAGTGTTAAAGATTTCTATCAGTGTTTTTCCTTGTTATGAGAGTTATGAGACATTATGCTCAAGGGGAAAATTTATTCCTAGTGAACTTCAATGGCTACAATGGAATTGTATGAAAGACAAATCTGGTGCATGGAATTCTGACATAGTATCACTACCAAGCCATTGCTGTAGTGCAGGAGTTACCTTTTCACAGAAACTACTACACTCTAGTTAAGAGCTGACTTTAAGTTATCTACAGTTAAGTGCCGAAACACTGCATAAAAACTCCTTTTTTTAACTAGACTGCACACTTAAGCATCTTCAAGTCAGATTTAATGCATTGTACTGTTGCAATTATGTAATGTGATATTGTCTGCTAACCATCCAGAATGTAAGTAGTATTTTAAACAACCTATTTATACTTAGATAATTCTGTGGCATGCACTGGATTACATTCCATTTTGCTCAGAAAATGCAGAATGTCACTGAAAGGGTAAGTGAGTAAGAGTCAAATAACAGAAACTAAACATGAGTAAAATATAACAGTTCAAGAAAAAAAATGCTGATATGAATAATGAAGATTTTCCTCTTGCTGTCAATTTTTCATATTATGGCAAGACATGGAAAAACACATTGGGTTCCATGTCCTGAATTCTACTGCAAACTGCAAAGCCTGGGTGCAGATCTATGAGGACTATTTAAACTGCATAGGTATGAACAGGATTAAGGTGCACAGCTGCAGTCATCACCTTCAGTGCCTCCACAAATAACAGCAGCAGTAATTCTGAAGAGTCATTTACAATAATGTGTTTGAAAGGGTGTAACAGAGAAAAGACAAAGTTTAGTATTGAA